TATCGGAATTGAGAACCACCCCCCCCCCCCCCCCAGAACCACCCGCTCACCTCCCGGCCGAAATAGTTTGGCCTGGTTTTAAAAAAGGGTCTTGGTCAAGCCCGATTCCGTCAGATCTCGGAAGCGAAGCAAGGTCGACTCTGGCAAGTGCTTGGAGGGGAGACCTCCTTGGAATACCAGCAGGAGGGAGGCGGGGGCAGGCTTTGTTCCGCCACCTCTCTGAATATCCTCCAGGCCCCCAGTAGGGGGCAGTCACCAGAGGTCACACACACATGCACATATGAAAAATACAAAAAAAAAAGGGTCTTTGGCTGTATCTGGAAAATGCAGAGGTGCCCTGACCTGGTTAGCCCCAAGGCCAGCCCGATCTCATCAGATCTCGGAAGCTCAGCAGGGCCGACTCCAGCAAGTACTGGGATGGGAGACCTCCTTGGAATACCAGAGGTGGGAGGCGGGGGCAGGCTTTATCCAGCCACCTCTCTGACTATCCTCCAGGCCCCCAGTAGGGGTCAGTCACCAAAGGTCGCCGTGACTTCCAGGTGCACGTACACACACACACACACACAAAATACAGAGGCTCTGGCTTTAACTGACAGAATCCCAAAGCTGGCAATGTACCCTGAAAGAAATGCCTCTCCCTGGGTGAACACAGACAGCAACATGGCTGAGGAGTAGCCGGCTCCAGATGGCACAAAACCTCCTGCCACCTGGCAGCCCAGCAGGATTCCTGGACCGCTGACCAGGGCGTCGCGGGACTTGCCTTCCCGGAATTCCAGGGGGCTGCAGGTCGCTGGGTCACTGACTGGTTACTCGTGCATGGATGGATGCCCACCACGATTCAGACGACCCTTAAATGGTTATAAGGCAGGCTAAACCCCAGGCATCTTTGAGTGCATCTTTAGACAGTGCCGGGACCGGTATAACCTGGGTGTGACTCCAGGCACAGAGCCCAGGGGTTGCTGGGGGATTGTGAGGCAGGTGGCTGTGCATTTCCTGCATTGTTCAGGGGGTTGGACTAGATCAGGGCTTTTTTTGTGGGGAAAGCCCAGCCGGAACGCATTAGCATAATAGGCCACGCCCCCTGACAGCATGGCCCATTAGCATGTTAGGCCACACACCCCATGCATTCCTGTGGCTGCAGGGAGCCCAGGCAAGGTGGCCCTTGGACAGGCTGGGGAAGGCATGGGGAGGCATTTAAATGCCTCCTTGATCCTTCCAGGCCCCCCCCCCCCGGCCTGCCTGCCTGCCTCGGAGTCGCCGGGAGGGGGGGTGTCGCTCTCCAGGCCTTCCCTCTGTAGCCACGCATGTGCAGAGGTTTTGGCTGTAGTGGGCATGGCCAACCCTGAAGCCAGCCGGAACTCCGTTCCTGTGCGTTCCTGCCCCAAAATAGCCCTGGACTAGATGATCCTTGGGACCCCTTCCGGCTCCGTGTTTCTAACTTTTCAGGAGACTATCCTCTGCCAACAAGCCTAACTGTGGGTTTCTTTGGGCCTAGCGTCAAGCGTGACTGATCTCTTTCACCGAGCGGCCTCCACACCGCGGGAGAAGGCTGGCTATAAAAGGAGAGGTGATTTGGAGTGCCAGAGCAGCGAACAGAAAGACGAAAGCTTTGTCCAGTCTTGACTGATGCGCTGCAGCACAAACCGGGCCCTCGGCTGCGTGTTGAGCTGCACTGGACCCTGCAGTGGCAGCAATGGTGGGGGGGTAAGGAAGCTGCAGCGGTGATGGTCAGGGGAGTGGCAGTGACAGGGGGGAGAACGATAAGAGGAGGAAGGGATCCCCCGCGAGTACCGTGGGTCCCCCGCGAGTATCGTGGGTCCCCACTTGTATTGTTTAATTGCTGTATTTACTTCTGTTTCTTGAGTGGTGATGAACAAAACAGTCACCACCTCTGGACAGGAGTCTCAACTGCAGCTTTCTAACAGTGCCTTTGGCAGGGCACAGTTACTCCACTGGCCTTTGCAAAAGACACCCAAGGGCAGTGGCAAAAGATGCACAGAGTTTTATGCCGTAACCGGAACACTGCTGCAAACAGCCTGGACGAAGGATACTAAAATGTAAAGACCTCATGCGTGAATCCACGTCCTTACCTCGTCCGTGCGAGCGCAGGCTCCGCTAACTCACCAGGACAACCCCACAGCAGTGTTCCCTCTAAGCTGAGTTAGAGTGAGCTAGCTCACAGTTTTTAGCCTCCGGCTCACACATTCTTGCCTTAGCTCAGGAAGGAGGGCTCCAGAGCAAACTGATTGATGCCAAAGCCAAACTGCTCGCTCACAACTTTAATGCCGGTCGCTCACAAAGTAGAATTTTTGCTCACAGGACTCCACAGCTTAGAGGGAGCATTGCTCCACAGCCTGTTTTTTTTGAAATGTTTGGAAATTGTTACAGACCACAGGAGTCCTGCCTCCCAAGCGACCGGAACACATTTCCTTTGCCGCGCTTGCAAACAGTGCGACGTGACTGGATGTACAACACTAGCCCAGGGAGTTTTGTCTCGCGGCCTCATCCTTTTTGCTTTGACTATAGGCCTGCTTAGCCCCACTTTGGCCGGGCCTCCCTTCGAAGCAGAAGCGGGCAGTACATGAGAAGGGCCCTTTGGCCCACGAGAGAGAGCCCCGCCCTCCTGAAAGGAGGGAGCGGCAAAGCACCCGGCTGGAGCCTGAACCGCCGCTCTTTGCAAAGACTTTGCCCGCCTCCCTTGATGAAGCTTGGTCCTTTCGACTGGAGATGGCGGGCACTGAACCCGGCCGGGACCTTCTGCCTTGCGAGCAGGGGCTCTTCCACCGCGCTGCGGCCCCTCCCCACAAGCTTCCAGTGGCTCTGTGGTGCCCACTGTGCCTTGCTGGCACCTCTGCCCAGAACAAAGTTCACAAAGTTCACTCAGTGGATTGCTGCTGCGGGCAGGGACCTGCTGGAAGATGCTGCCAAAATTGGAGTCAGGCCCCGGGGCCGTGCCGGAAGAGAGCTGCGGAGAGAAGAGACACCCACCTTGGCCTTGGCTCTGGAGGCTCTGGGCTTACGGGCTCTAGCCACCCCGGCCTTTGGAGATGGGACGGCGGCACAGAGACAGCGCGAGATGGAGGCGGAAACAGAGAGAGAGATGAAACCAGCGCGTTTGGTACAAACGAATGACGGTGGAGGAGAGAGGGAGGGAGGGAGGCACATGAAAGGGGAGCAGAAAGACGACCTACAGGATGGCAGTCTAGGCGGCAGAGCTGAGTGGGGGTGGGGAGCTGGAGACATTGGGGAGCGGGGTTCCCTCTCAGCTGAGTGAGTGTGAGCTAGCTCACAGTTGTTTAGCCTCCGGCGGGGTATAAATATAGAAAATATTTTTTTAAATAAATAAATAAATAAAAAAAATTGTACAGTAGCCGAATGGCTCGCTCACAACGCTAATGCCAGCAGCTCACAAAGTAGGATTTTTGCTCACGAGACTCCACAGCTTAGAGGGAGCCTTGCTGGGGAGCCGGGCAAGCCGGGCCGGCCAGCCAACTCACACCGCCGGGCCGTTGTCCAGCTTCGGCTGCCCGTCCAACGGCATCCCAGAGGGCTCCCTCGGCAGAACCAACGGGTGCCAGGCATCTTCCTGGCAGAGGCGCAGGTTGGCCGGCTGGCTCGGGGCCAACGGCTGGCACAGAGTAAAGGGCGGCTGGAAAGTGGTGGTGCCGGAAGGTCCTGCAGTGACAGAGGGGTGGCTGCTGTCCCGCAGTTTCTTCAGCATGCGCCCGGGTCAGCCATTCCTGGACCCGATCGAGGTTTATAAGATTATGCCTGGGATAGAGCAGGTAGAGAAAGAGGTCCTTTTCTCCCTTTCTCACAAGACAAGAACTCATGGGGGGCGGTCGGGTTAGAACGGATAA